GAGTAAAGAAAAAATAGAGACAAACTGCTACAAATTCAAAACAAAATACGGCTCTTTTGTCACTCTGCAAAGTCAGTGGTTTAGTTTTGTAAATCCGTGGACCAAAGAACTAGAATATATTGTGTCAACTAACACAGTCATCTCGTGAGTATACGGTTCAGTGGATTTGTACATTTGCTTATGTATCTGTGAGTGCGTCTGTATATATGTGTGTTAGTTTGAATTTTTCTCTTTGCTCATCCTATGACCAGATATGATCCCAGTCGAGCAGGTCGGTCAGGAAATAAATCTGAACAGTCGAGCAATCCCAAGGCTTCTGAAGGTCTTTATAAAATTATTCTATCAACACATTATTTGGTTGTAGGGGGCCTTCTTCCCCCCCCCTTTCACTTATTTAACTCTTCTGCTCTGTCTTATTTTTTCCCTGTCAGACTGTAAAAAGTCCCCTCCTATTATACCGGGCATTTCCAGCACACCTGGGACTATGATATATGCCGGAAGCATAGGAACCCAGATTGCCAATGAGCTGCTGGATTTCAACAGGTATGTACTGGATATAATTACTTTAAAAACACACAAGTCCAGCATCGGCATCTATGCTCTGGTTACTTGGTGTTGTTGTAGATGAAGGATACTGCTGTTTTAAGTTGTTCTGTGTGGGTTTCCTTTAGGACGAACTCATCACCTTCCAGTGGTAACGTCAGTCCCTTCAGTCTGCCACAGGACAAGTCCCCACAAATTCACAATCAAATCAGCAACAGCGTGAGTCATGCCGGCTGTTTATCCAATCAATCCAATCAACTTCATGCATCCTTAATGCATGAAGGAGCATTTCCACAGGTCCTTCTTCCCTGCAGCTGTCAGACTGTACAATCAAAACTGCTCCCAACAAACATAGAGGTTTACATCAGCGCTGTAACTTGCACTATTTTATCAACCGATTCACACTATAACCAGGGTTTGCCTCTTATCTGTATTTAATTTTATTTAATTTAATAACGGTACAGTACTCTGTTTTTGGTAACCATTGTCCTTGATGTAAATATGTAAAAACTGTGTATGTTTCAGTTCTGTGTCTTGTGTACTGTTTGTTTGTATATGTGTCTTTCTTGCTGCCGTTACACCCAGATTTCCCCTTGTGGGACAATTAAAGGATTATTCTATTCTATTCTGGCTCACATAAAACATTTTTAGAAGCTGAACTATGTCTAAGATGTGATGTGAGGGTTATAGTGTGCTCCCTTTTGGTCTTCAGGTCCCAAATGGAGAAACATCAGACATGGAAATACCAGGAAAGTCCAGCTCGGAGAGTGAGCCTCAAGGTGCTGCATTCTCAGGAGGAGAGACTCTTATGGGTACTTCCACTCATCGTGTCTATAAACTTTGTTATAATAAACTGAGTCACTTGCTGTATTTATTTCTTCCCTATTGCAACCTGGTAACTTTTCCTTTTTGTTTTCACTCCACCTTACCCCAGGAGAAAATTCCCAGTTGGATTTGGAGAGCGTGGTTGGACCAGGCCTGAATAGCCTCAGCAGTGATGAAGCAGCTATGGCAGTGATCTGGAGCCTTTTGGAGACGGACACAAACTTGGGAGAAGCTGTGGACTTTGAAGAGATGCACTGGTCCTTATAGAATCTGCATTACAGTGTGAAACGGCACGCTGGAAAACACCCGGATCCTCATTTTGATGATGGCAGAAACTGCTTGAAGCTTACTCAAAGGAGCAGCATTCTGTTTTTGTTTTTTGTTTTGTTTTGTTTTGTTTTGTTAAAATTTAATATATTAGTTACTCTTCTCCACATAAGCTGTCTAGTTTTTGGGTAGCTGCTCAAACAGGAGCAGAATCGGCGACATTAAGGGACACCTGCTTTCCCTCTTCAGAAAGAGGATGTGCCTCTTAAACGTTGCAGCTGCCCACCCACTCACCTTGAAACCCTGTTCCTCTCCTCCCTGCTTTCTTAAATCTGCCGTCAGCCTCAGAAAGGTTGAAGAAGCCGTGAACGCACAGAAGAGTGATATGATGTACATCATGATGGCTCTGGATCCTTGCTTCTATTTCTCTCCACCTACATTTAAACAAAGGTTGGGAGTGGTGACGCAAAAAACAATTGCACTGAATTGATTTCTTTTTTCTTTTGTTTTTAAAGTTGCAATTTCATTAGGTACTGTATGCTTGACTAAAATGCAAGAGGACACCCTAAAAAACTGGCCAAGCTTTGCAACCCTTCCCTCAGGATCCAAAACCGTGGGTTTAAAGCTTACCGCGGCAGACCACACTTCCATAACCTCTACTCTCTTTGAGAGTCACCTAAAGACGTGGCGCTCTGAGATTTTCTCTTGTCAGTATCTGAACATTTTTCTCACAAACGGTGTAGTAACCTCTTCTCTTGTATGCTAACATATGTCGCTGTTTATATGTGGGGTCGATATGATATCAAACACCATGTCTTCAGGCCACATGTGTCTTAAAGGGATAGGTTGCATAAAAAGCCTCAGAATTTACTAGTTCCACCTTCAAAAAATTTTAGTTGATGAGCTGCCAGTTTTGATGGCTGGTCATTTATGAGCACTACAGTACAACTTCATGCAAATCAGAAGGGCACTTTAGAAGTGCTGATATTAAGGGTTGGTAGTGATGGCTGAAGAGCGAACCCATTTCACATCTTCTCAGTACGTGTTTGAGACTGATGCGAGTCAGGGAGTTATCAACTTTTAAGATTTTACACACTTCCCTGCATACTGTACAAGTAGTATCAGTACTTGTTCACCTCTGAATCTTTGTTCTTATTGTTGTCTCTATAGTCGTGCAGGTAAGCCATACCTTCTATCGTTTCTTCTTTTTATGCACTGACAGTCTGAGAACATGTTTATGTGCTTGTTATGTGGCACACAGGGTTGAAATGGATATGTTTGTTAAGGGATTGTGCTATGCAGAAGTGTCATTCCAAACTTTTTTCCCCCCTCCCCTTTATTTCCTCTTGTGTAATAGCCATGTGCATGACTCCTGAGTGTAGAACATTTGCAGAGCTGTGGTGTGACATTTGTGAGAACTTGAATGGTCCACGGAGCAGTATGGATCCCATTGCCATTTACCTCATGTAGAGTTTAGGATTGGCCATGCTTTCAGTTGCACATTCTAGCTTTTTACTAAAGTAATGAAACCTCTGATAGCCATGATTTGATGATCTATTTGTTAGTGATCCACTGCTGAGCGTGGCCATGAGTGGCTCTTAGTTATGGAGTTACCAAAGTGTTGTGGTATGCTAAATTAAAGGGTGTCGGCTTGAGATCCTGGTGAGACCAGATAATGTAAAAATTTACTTTATAGGTCCATTAAAGTAAAGTTATTGCATTTGGCTGTTTTTTTGTTTTTGTTTTTTTTGTTCTTTGTTTTTATAAGAAATTTAACAACTTGAGTATATACATCCCCTGTTATAAGTTACTTAAAAATAAATCCTCTATGTCTAAACGTTTAGTGATTACACATTCTTTTAACTGAAATCTTTAACTTTAAGGAGATTTTTTTAAAATTAAAACATGAACTACTGAAATCCAGCAAAATCATTTGGTTTGTGGCACATGGATTTTTATACCGTGCATGTGTGTGTGTGTGTGTGTGCGTGCGTGCGTGCGTGCGTGCGTGTGAGATATACCAGTTGTCCACATATACCAGTGTTGTCCACTGAGCTTTCGGGGTCAAAAAGGCTGCACGTCTATGTGTTATCTTCACATAATCGTTATAATGAAACGGTGCAGTCTTAAAAAAAAAAAAGTTCCTGTTTGCTTCTTGGGAATACTTTTTTCCCCCTCATTTCTTGAAGGCCACGTCAAGATTTTTCAACAAGAACTCGTATTTCGAGGCTGGAAAAGCTTGTTGTGGATCATGCAGAAAATTGTCTGTTATATCTAATGCTTGAATTTTTAAGGAGCCGGTTGATGGAGCAGCTGAACTCTCAAGAGGACTCCTCCTTACTTGTGTCCGGTCTGAAGTGCCTTTGGACACAAAATGAACCTCTACTGCTTTTTGGAAACGGTCTCCGACGTGGCGCCTCTGCAGACTTTAAAAGGAGGGCTGAAACGTATCACTGAATAAGCTTGATGAAACGTGGCATGCTGTGCACATCAGAGATGAAACTGGAGCTGCACGTAGTTGCATCAGTGCTCTCTTTGTAACCGAACATGTAGAGCTATGAAGCTGTGCCATAGATGCAGACTGGTCCTTTTGAAAGGCAAAAAGTCAGTATTTTTTTTCATCCTGTGTATTGTGGATGTCATTGCATTCTTGTGAACGCCACTTTCCCAGAAAACTAACGCATCAGCTTATGTGGTTTATTAGTGATGAACCTTTTTAAAGAGGTGTATGTTTTGCTTCTGTCTGTTCAGAATAAAATAGTTTTTGTAAGGTAGGGAATGTTTTATTTCATGTCCGTGTCTGTGTGTAGCTGCATGTTGCTTTGGTTTTACTGATTTAATTTTTAAAAACAATTGCATTATTTGAAATGGAAAGCCAAGACTTGAGCGCCAGTTGCCCCACCAGAGGCAGGACCTGAACTCTTGGGGTTATATTTTCCAGGCTATTTGCCAGTTTGCTACTGCCGCTGTCCATACTGGTTCCTGCCACAAGTTTAGTCATGTTCGATATTCAGGCTCCAGACAATGTTGTCTGATGGATTATTGCTGCTATTATCAACATGTCTGGGCCGTCTTCCCAGGTTGTGAATAAATATTAGTTTACTGAAACTTCAGCTGAAACTTTGGTTGATTATTTATTTTTAAATGATTTCTTGGCTCTGATAGAAACACCCTTCAGTCTGCATGGCCCTTGGTGATGTGCACTGTCTTGAGTAATTACATTGTTCTCTTTGTCCCCCCCACCTCCCCTCATGTGAGGAGATTAGCTCAGAGTAATTTGTCAGATGTGATAAGGCAGTGCTTGGAGCAACTAAGAAAGCATAGCGTAAGCTGGGATTTCTGCAAAGTAAAGTCAGTGGTGAGTGCGGAGCTGCTTTGTCTTTACAGTATGGGCCAAGCCGCTGTCCGGACTTGTGGAAGACGCAAGTCATATGTTACAGAGCTGTATGAATGGTTCAGGTAAGCTTTTGAATTTGTCTTAAATTTTTACAGGAAGTTGAAAACAGATGCAGATTTTCTTTAGCCTTAAATTGATTATTACGTTCATGCCCAGAACGGAACAGACATGGCATGGTGGTGCAGTGGTTAGTACTGAAGACTCAAAGCAAGTTGGTTCTTTGTTTGAACCTGCTAGCTGGGTGGAGCCTTTCTGTGTGGAGGTTGCATGGTTTCCCTGTTCCTGCGTGGGTTCTTTTTAGGTAATCCAGCTTTCTCTCACAGTCCCAAGATGTCCTTGTTAGGTGAAGTCCTGAAACCAGATTGACCATGGGCGTAAATATAAGCTGAGTGATTGCCTCTGCGTTGCCCTGAGTTAGACTGGGTGACCTGTCCATGTTTTATCCAGCTGCTCAACACAGGGGTGAAAATGAATGAAATTTATAGAACAACTTAAAGAGATTTTTTGTTCAAAACAATCCTTGCACATCTATTATCCTGGACTTCAATTCATTCTCTGACTGAAACAAGCAGTTTTGCCTCCTGAGCCAACTTTGCTTTGATTGGCTGCCCCTCCAAACAACAGGTATAAACAGCAGCTGAATGGGAACTTTTGACCACATTAGGAAATCTGCTCTCACTGACATCATCCAGAGACAAGAGTATTACAAAAATCTGAAATGTAGTTTTTAGAGCAATCTGGCGCTCATTGTAATTACTTGCGCATGTGCTAATTTCATGGTTAAATAATGTTTGAGCATATTTAAAATAAGCATCCATCAGCGCGAGAGTGTACTTGAATTTGGGATCAATACATTTATTTTTACTCTTATTGATTTTAGCATTGTAGGAATTTCCAGTGTATTTAGCCAGATTAGAATTTGTTGTTTTTGCAGGCAAATCTGCAAAACTAACAGCATCAGCAACAAAGTAAAGTATTATCTCCTGTGGACTGATCAGCTTCACTCTGCCATGATGTCATTTGGCCTAATTATCTTGGCACTTGTGCCGCACTCTGTAAATAAGCTTTCAAACACATGTAATCCACACAGGTTGGGGATGGGTTGACCTTAATTCCACTGATTCTCAATTTAAGACACATTTTCTCTCAAATCAGACCCCTCTCTCAAACTCCCCTTGTTTTCCAAATCCTTTGGTGTATTAAAACACAAACTGTTGTTTTTATCTGTGGCAGAAAGTTTGTTATCGAGTGTCCAAGTGGGCTAATCGCTCTTCACGAGTTTCAAAGGCATTTCTGTGATGGAACTGTGGGCAGTGAGTCAGCAGAGTATGCAGAACAGATTTTCCGCACGCTCGACAGCAATGGGGTAAGCATGACTCTATAGAGTAGGTCTATACAGTACAGGAGTCTTGAAAAAGTATTGAGTCACCACTCACTTCTTTATATTTTTGCCTCCATGAAATCCAGAATTGCAAAGTTTTAACCTCCTAAGACCTTAACTCTTTCATGGCATGCATTTTTAATTTCTCTTTGCTATTTGGGCTGATTGGGACCTGATGAATGTAAAAACAGTGAATTATGTGATTTTTTTTTTTTAACCTAATTTTTGTTTCTAAGAAAAATGAGATCCACATATGAGGACATTGGCTTTAAATTTCAATAGAACAGTGGCAGTATAATATCCCTGTAAGTGGATATCAGGCCCTTGTAGAGCAAAATGTAGTATTCTGGTCTAAAACAACCCAAAATGCGATATCCACATATGTGGACGCCAGGTCCTAGGAGGTTAAAGTAAACCTGAGTAATAATTATCCAGGTCTTCCAAAAAAGTATTCATAGAAAAACACCCTTTTTTTTCACTCTTTGTGCCTGAAATATTTTAGAGGAATTATTTTTTTCACTTAACACTGAATCATTCAGGCAATAAAAGGGCACCTAATTCAAGGGATGAACCAGTGTTGTCTTCACATAAGTTTAACGAATAGCTCATTTAAAATTGTATCTGTAGGAAGCCTGGGAGCCAGTCTCAAGAGTACATAATTTGTTCCAATATCTTTGGATTCAAAGAGATTCAAGATTCAAAGCGTTTATTGTCATTTAATCTATGAAAAGTGCCAAAAATTAGATATTTTGACAGGCATAAATTTGTGGTAGTTTTGCTCAGAGATGCATCTGGGCCTTCAGTTGATCCATGTATTAGATTATCATGCTGAAGCTTAACCTCCTAGGACCTGGTGTCCACAAATGTGGACATCACATTTTGGGTTATTTAGACATAAATACTCAATTTTGCTCTACAAGCGCCTGATATCCACTTACAAGGACATTATACTGCTACTGTTCTATCGAAACGAATATCCTCATATGTGGCTCTCATTTTTCTTAGAAACAAAAATTAGGTAAAAAAAAAAAAAATCTGGTAATTCTTTGTTTTTACATTCATCAGGTCCCAATCAGCCCAAATATCAAAGAGAAACTAAAAGCGCATGCCGTGGAAGAGTTCAGGTCTCTGGAGGTTAAAGAGAAATGGTCTCGTGGAAGGGTGTCTGTGAAGAAACCATTCATATAGAATGGAAACAGGAAGAAAAGGCTGAGGAATGAAAATTACACAAGATCTGGACTGAAAATCAGCTAAAACAGGTCTGGTGGCGAGATGAATCCAAATGTGAAATGTTTAAATGATTGTCAGAATGTAGGGGTCATGTCAGGGGATGGGTACAACAGTGAGTGTGTAGAGCCATTTTCTAAAACGCAATGGAGGCTCTGTAGGGGGTGGCCAGTGGTGGTGGGGATCTTGTCAAAATTGATTAAATTAAGAGTGCAAAAATTACAATCAAATTTTGATCCATCATACAATACCATCTGGAAAGACACTAATTAGCAACAGCTTCATTTCTCAGCATGATGGTGATCCCAAACACACTGCCAGTGAATTAAAGGCGTATCTGTGAGATCATCTTGACAGAACTGAACAAAAGGCAGCAAACATCCAAAAATCTTTGAATATCCTTCAGAAATAGTTCTCCAGGCATATTGAAGACAACTAAAAGAAAGGACATGCTTTCATAGTCATGCATCACAAAACTGAAACAAAACATTAACTGTGTGGTGCTTTTTTTTTTTTTTTTTTCAGGATGGGGTGGTTGACTTCAGAGAGTATGTCATGGCCATCAGCATGCTTATTGAAGGTTCAGCTGTTGAGAAACTGCGCTGGTCATTCAAGCTCTATGACAAAGACCGAGACGGAGCCATCACAAAGGAGGAAATGCTGGAGATCATGCAGGTGTACAGGCTCTGTGTCGTGGTATATAAAACAGAAGATGTGCCAGATGTTGCAGTTCGACTGATGTGCGTTTCTTTGTTCGGACAGGCTGTTTATAAGATGAACGTGGCTGCTGGTTTAACCAAACCGAACCCACTTACAGCTGAAGAATGCACCAGCAGGATATTTGTGAGATTAGATAAAGACAATAACGGTGAGGAAAGGTGGCGACTTTTCCCTCCTTTTTGCGTGTAATCATACTGCAATGTTATTTCTATGTGTATCAAAGTTGATTATATATGTTTCTATAGAAAAGGTAAACAATCCAATTTAAAAAAATAAATAAATCCACCACTAAAATGTGGTTTGTTTTTAAAAGTATCTTTAGTAACAACTTTAAACAATAAAAACATCCTTGAAGCCTAATAAGGCTAATTGAAGACAAAACTGTAGCATGTTTGATGCTGATTAAAAATAACAAAATGCAAATGGATTGCTCAACCCACAAAATAAGTAAGAGGCAAAAATGTTAATCTAAAAGATATGATTTGCTCTTTTCCATTTTGATATAATTAAAGACAACCAATACTCTGGATAATATACAGAGGCATATTTTACTGACGGTGGTTCCCCAAATTTAGCCCCAAAACTTTCCATTCACTAGTATCAACCCTCACAGACAGATTATTAACAGTCAGTCCAGTGGTGTTTGTCTAATCGGTGCCCGTCCTTGCAGCAATCATCAGTCTGGAAGAGTTCATAGAGGGAGCGCTGGATGACAATTGGATCAGAGAGATGCTGGAATGTGACCCGAGCACCGTGAAGGTGGGGAGGCCACTGAAGAGGGACACCGCTTTGGAAAACCCACGGTTAATTTGAAGTGGTTCACTATTTAGGCACACTGGACCAGCCAGTGTTTGGGCTAAAAATTCAATGAATTAAATTCTATCTTCATCTATTGGATAACTTTGTCGTAGCTGCTTTAGAGTGCTGTAACATTTGGAGCTTATTTTATCAAGCTTCCACAAGCTGAAATGCCGTGTTTGTGTTTTTATGTATTGCTCTGTTCTGGGTTATTAATGTTACTCAAACATACCAGATTTTAGAAAAAGTATGAATTTACATATGTAAATCCATAATGTACACATGACACATGTGAGTGAAAAAAGAAAAAAAAGAACTGTTATTATAAATTCTGCACTTGTGGACAGATTAACTTGCACAAAGTAATGGACCTTAATAACATTATCAGAATCAGAATCAGAAAGGGTTTTATTGCCAAATGTTGAGCAGGTTTACAACATTAGGAAATTGCTGCGGTGCTTAGTGCAAACATACTGTCATAAACGCTTAAATAGATATAAAAATAAAAATAAGAATAAGAATTAAAAGTGCTAAGTAGATAGATATATACATGAGTGCAGGTGGTGATCAAAGTTAAGAAGCTCTTCTCTGGTGTAAGAATATCCAGAGGAGTGCCCAGACACAGAAGTTATGCACAAAAACAAAACAGAAAGAAGACATCTCCACTAATGAGGCCTCACCAATGGGTATTCATGCTACATCAAAGTAATTGGGTAATAGACTAATAAAAATTAAAGAAAAGTTACTATTTTTTTACTACTACATTATTTATTTATTTTTACAGTAGATATATAGTGTTAAAACGTTTTCTGTGGAAAAAAAACACCATTTTAAACATGTATTTTTGAAATTACAGGACAGTAAATGACCAATGTGATTTTTAAAAAATGTAATTTTTACACATCTATTTCTTAAAATTTACGCTCGGAGAATCATGCTATTATTATTTTATTTTATTCTATTTTATTTATGTATTTATTTATTTTTTCGTCACTGACGCTTTAACACCACTTGGTGTCGCCTGTACTTCTTTAAAGCTCACTAGCCACAAAAGTAAGGCTTCCAAGAATTTAAGGAATACGTCTCTTCCCCGATCCAGGAAAACATGGGAAATTTCACTTTTGCGTTACTTAGCTCGACGGACCGCTGTGTGTGAAAGCTGCTGTTGGTTGTGACTATTCCTACATCAAGATGACAATAAAAATGTTTGTTTTGTTTTTTTCAAACAGTTTCTGGTTTCTCTGAATCATTTCCCGTACCGGAGATGACTGAATCTCACAGCTCCTATGTTAGGCACGTTACAGTGAACGCACCAGGACTCCCATTTAAATTCCAGGCCAATCCAAGCCTGTAGCAGGGGTGGGATTTTTCAGCCATGACATGCAAAGTTTTTCAGCGACCCTGTCACTTCGACATCATGGCGTAGCGATGTGCACGGACGGCAGGGTCGTACTGGTGGGCACGGAGAAGTTCAGAACACAACTTTTGTGGATTTTTCTCAGAAAAAACGAGAAGACGAAACTACGGAAGCGCTGAAATTCTTCGAGAAGAGTTTGGGTACGCGTCCTTCTTGAGGCTACAGCTGTGATTTATTGTTGTAGTCTGCTAAAGTTACCGTTTAGTCCGAACAAGCTGCCGCCGTTGAGGCTCGCGCAGATGCGCGCGCATGGCTCACAAAGCTACCGTTTTATGGTCACTTTTCTAACTTTTTATAACCAGCAGGTCCCCGAGCTGTTAGGTTTTGTCTGGTTAGTGAAATCTGACTCGTGTTAGTGAAATCTGACTCGTTAACACTGTAAGAAACGAATGACGCAAAGTGTCCTAAATACCCGACTGTAGACAAAACGTTAATGTTTCAGCTTTACGTTAAATATGTAACAGAAGCTAACTGGAAGAAGTCTGTTTATGACCTGCCACATATCTAATCTCTGCACTGTGCCATTGTTTTCCATCGCCTGAGGCTGCTCTTACCCTCTTTCCCCCTCTGTGTTTTTATCTGTATCTAAAGTAACATTCATTTGGCTTCATTTGCCTTGCCCTAGGTGCTGAATTAGTGGGATTTAGCTTTAGTAGTGATCGTGAACTGCCCCCGAATGTGAAGTAGACTTTCTGGAGTTCCTCTAAGAGACGTAAAACTTAATCAGTTGTTGTGTTATAGTTTGGCCTTTTTGTTTCTTTAAAAAAGCTCTTGAAAGCAGCACACTTGTCTGGAAACCAGATGTTGCCAACAGTAATTTTGGGTGCTTTTCCTTGAATTCATTGATTTACTAACTTAATCCCCTTTTTAATGCTAATTGAAAGCAGTTTAGGTCTTCGCTCTTTGTTATTCACACACTCCCAGGGGTCACTTTTCAGCATCTTCCTGTCTTCACCGCATTGCAGCCAAAAAAGGAAATGCAAGGAGTTTATATTAAGGAAAATTCCCCAAAAAACAAGCCTACTGTTGTTCGCAGCAGCATAACCAATCTTCTGTATGGCATGTATATTATTCAGTGTTGCATTTCATTGCATGTGCATGAAGATGAAGGACTTCTTAGTCAAGTTAAGACACAAGTTGTGCATTTGTGAGTAATACGAAAAGAATGTGTGATTCCATCCAACACAAATGAACTTCTGCCACGACTGTGCACATACATGCAGGCAGGAAACGCTCTTGGAAGCCCTTCTCACATGAAACACTTTATCTTAAAAACTACATTTCCACCTTTTGGAAGCTGTGTTTACATTGCTACATCACTAATTGCTTGAATACCATTAAGGTTTTTCATGATTTTATTTCCAGCCAGTCTAAAGATGGAGGAAAATTCCCTGTCCACTTTTCAAACCTCTTGCCGGGAGGTATAAAAGTAAAGACAGGCATCCAGGTATTCAGCCATGTTGGAAATAGCTGCAGGTTATTCCTGCAGGTAGCTGATGAATACTCTAAATGCGTCCACACATACACCAAATCCCTGCAGGCACAGGAGTTTACTGCCTATGGCTAAGTAAAGCAACATCAATAAAACCCCACTTTTATTCAGGAAAAACATTGGGAATTTCTTTTGCCTCTTGTGTATGATAAATATCTTAGATACTCTTCTGATTTCTAAATTAAAAGCAGTGAGTTGATTCCTTATTTTGTGCTAAATATACTGTTTTCTGTCTGTGGTAGAAAAGGAGTTTGGCTTTTGTCATAGAAAAACTGTGTAAAGGTGAAGAATGAGTCAAGGCCTGCATGAGTCAAAACATATAAAGTGTTATTATGTGGGCCTACGCTGTCATGTCCACGGAAATTGCCACGTAACTTGGATAAAAACAGACTAAGTAAAACAAACTGTGGTGTAATTTTTGGCCTGGTTTGTCTTTTCTAGTCTTTTCTAACATGACAGCTATTCATCTCAGTACAGACTGCTATCAGTTTTTACAGGCACATGCAACTATCTGTGAAAGAAAATGAGCCAGAGGCTTCTGTTTTGTTGTGTGCTGCCGCTGCATGTGCTGAAGCATAGTTCGCTGGTCACGTGTAACTCAGGAATTAAGATATTCTTTATTTTCTTTCTATACCACGAGTACCGGAGCTCTTAGGGGAGCACCCAGTGAAGTAGGTTTATGTTGCCTAAAGGGACCTGAGCTGCAGGATTTGAAAAGCAATTATAGTGGTCCACTCTCCCTCCTGTATTCATTGTTCTCTGCATGTCTCTGTGAATTACATGGCTGATTTCACCAAGGGGCAAAGCTGCTTTTGCATGTTCTTTCAGTTTACTTTTGAGGCTCTTTTTAGTCTGAAAAGAGTATGCAGGCAGGTGTCAACTGTAGCATTGCAATGCCGTTTTTTTTCCCCCTCCCTCCCAGCCTTTGTGTGCTTATGCAGCTCAGTCAAAACAAACCACTATGATGAACAATAGAGCTCTCTGTTTTGTCTTATGGCTGGTGTAAGTGGTGCTTATAGACAGGCAGACAGAGGGACTCTGTTTGAGAGCGATGCTTGCTCATTGGGAATTTTGAGATGTCTCCTTTGATGGCAGTCTTGGACAGATGCTTAACATGCATCATAAAGGAAAAGTGCCTTATAAATCTAGGTTTATAAGGCTTTGTTACAGTTTGTCATATATAATATGTACCTGTCTCTTTCAAATGTGGAAAATTATGACATTTAATGAACACTTATTTTGTAATTCAAAACAATCACTTGTCCCAGAGCTTTAAAAAAAACGGGACAGACTGTTACCTTGGCTGCTTTCTAGACAACCATCTTATGTTTACACATAACTAAAGCAACATGGAGGCTTCCTGGGACTTGAGGAAAGCGTGCATGTCCCTGTAATTAGGAATTCTTTTTGCTGTGTCCATCCTACATCCAGGATGAAGCTGTGGAAGTGCTCAGAAGGCTGTTTGCACTTATTAGCAGGTTTCAGAGCAGCATGTCTGGTCTTGAGCTGCTGTTTGAAGTATATTTGCTAAAGGCCATGTGCTAACCCATATTTGCTTTTCTGCTGTGATAGAAAAGCTGACTCAGGCTTTTGAAGGGGATGCCCTGCAGGTCTGGATTCCAGTTTTGTCTCATCATGATCCAAACTCTGTGCTGGCTGCTGTGAAATGCTGAGATATCGCCACAATAAAAGCCTTCCCTCAATCTGTTTGTAGTTTATGCATTTCAAGCAGTGCTGGCAGGATGTCCTTTTTCTTTTCTCAAGTTGCACAAACCTCACCAATAGCACACATGCCCATAAAACTGTAATGAGCCTGGAATCAAACAGCAGACCAGCAGCCAGGTAAACATTTCCGTATAATAAAATAATTTCATCTATATTTGCTTTAGCCCAGAGAACTTCATAAAAACAAGCTCAAAGAGCGAGCCAAGCTGCTGCAGTACACAAACAGTCAGATTAGACAATAACTTTATTTTTTTATTCATTTTTTTACCACCAGTTTGCAGGTAATTTTTATTGGCTCTTCGCAGAACTCTTTGTAAACTGGCATCAGCTGAATGATAGATGTTCATCAGTCCACTCAATCCTTTGTTGGTTATCATATCCCTGAGATGAGGATTCAAGCGTCAGAAACTGTTAAGGGAGCACTCGGCACTGGCAGTAGATATGGGCAGATGTTGTCCCATTGTTTCCGGTTTCACATCATGATGCTAACAGCATTCACATTATCAGCAGACTCTTAACATCTGAGATTTTACTTTTCTGTTTTTAATGACTAAAATATTGAAAAGCTGTTCTAATTTATTAATTTCTAAACTGCTTTTCTGCCTGCAAAAGCAAAGTGAGTGAAATCCAACTTTGTCAAAGTGTTAATTGAGCAGCTTAACCATGCACTGCTATGAACAGCAGCCGAAACAAAGCTTGCAAGGATGTTAACCAAGGATCCAAAGATGGCTCTGATGTTATAATTGTGTTAACAAGAGAGTGTAATTAAAATAAATGTACATTAGTACCCCTGCACACTACTGTAGCTGATATTATGGCAACTGTTTCTTAGTTATAGCTTCTAAATTATATTGACTTTTGAATTTGTGCTGCTTATTAGCAAACCAAATTCTTATATAAACTAGCATGATTTGTATAATTAATCAATTAGTCAGTTTAGTTTAGATTTTAGCTGACAACCATTCAAAGGTCATCCCTTGCAGGGTTCCTAAAGGGGTTGCAATTGCTTTTTAGGAGTGTCTACACACACAGGCATGAAATATTTATGGATATATGTGCAGAAATATTTGTATACCAGCCCTCGTCCTTCCATGGAAACATTGTAAAATGCTCGAATTCTGCCCTGCCTTTTCTAAATGTCAGGTCTTTTGCAAAATGTGTAGTAAGCAGCTACTGTTGTTACTGAGAGAAGCATTTTTACACACTCAGGATTTTACTGTTGGAAACCACCCAGCACTTTACTGTGGACCAGTGGCATGCTGGGTGCTCATCTCCTCTCAGTCTGCTGTGTGTTGTGTCGAGTCTTGTGTTTTAGTACATGCTTCTTTTACACATAATGGAAACTGTGACCACAGAAATGCTTAAATAACAGTGCTCAGTCTGTGGGTGGTTTCCATAAAGTCTGAAACTGGTGGAACGTCCCAGTGCTGGGCACTCCCAGGATTGAAGGTAGCTGAATAAAGGAAGAGGTGTCAGTGGATGTTTGTGTGCACATGAACATCTCTATTTGCATGCTTAAACATGTACAAATATACAGCAGGGTCTTTCGAACATCAGAGGAGAAAGGGACTGCTGTGTTATTTGGGCAAATCTCCAAGACTGGGACACGAAAATGCATCTTTATTTCAATCCAAACAAAGTTCCCACTGTCCTCTTGATAGGACATTCAGAACACCAGTGTTTTAGATATTGGTTTAATTTAATATTATGTGTGGCATTCATTAGTTTTAGAAAATATACATGAGAACTCTTCAGCACAGAGTTAAACAACAGGAAGTTAAAGAAACTCAACAAATCACCTGATTTTGTTTGTTTTTTGTCTTGTTTTTTTAAGCTGCCAGAGATGCCTTGCTATCATATAACCATGCAAAAACTGACTTATTTTTATACAGTCAAACCCTACTCAGAATTATGTTGTTTTACCAGCTGTTAAAGACTCGAAACTCATGGCTCAAAGAAACCCAACAGTATTGCAGCTGAATTCATGTTTAATGATGCACAAAATTACTTCTTAAAAAAACCAGAGAAGGCCTTGATCCAAGCAGGCAGTGTGTTATCAGATTTAGCCGCCTCCTCATAACACAACGCATGTGTAAAAGTGATTTGGCTGCAGTTTAAAAAAAAAAAAAAATTTTCATTTATTTTTTTTTTTTTAAGTTGTGAAAAATGAATGTGGTTAGCTGTGACAGAAACAACTGGCATATCAAAATATGCATAACATCAGATCAAAATTCTTAGCAAAACACAATTTTTATCTTCCAGCACCACAGTGCGCTAAGTTTCTGCCACTTTGCTGCCATCCATAAGTCACAATTTGTAATCATTATCCCAACTGGGTATCTCACAATTTTGATTTGCCTCTGCTAATCAGGAAATTTTATTTTGTTTCGTTTTGTTTTTTGTGGCTTAAACAAGTTTTTAAAAATGTATGCCTGGTTAAAGCTGTAACATTTAAAAAAATCATCCTGTTCAACAGTGAACTGGAAATGCATAACAATAAGTTTCTTTTATGTTCATGAGCAGGCATGTTTGAAAAAATAAAAAAATCTGTAACCTGTAAGTTGAAATGTGAACTGAACTGTAGTTTAAAAAATAGTTTTAAAACATTTACTGTGTTTTGGGGCTAACCCTTTAAACTGGTTTTATTGGTCTTTATAGGTTTGTCAGTGACTGAAGATGATGTCTGATGCCAGCGACATGTTGGCTGCTGCTCTTGAGCAGATGGATGGAATTATAGCAGGTAAACCTCTCCCATTAAAAAGCATCAGCGCAATATTTTACCATGACTTTTAGTACTCGTGAAAGCCTAAAGCAACAAAAGTCTCTGCGGGTCTTCCAGGTTGAGTCAACATTGATAAGCCCTTATCTGGTGTCTTGTTATGGCTTGTTGCACAGCTGACATTCAAGCTGTCATGTGATATCTTGTGCTCTATCTAGCCTTTATTCTTTGCACTTTGAGTCTGTGTAACTCTAAACCAGTGGTTCTTAAACTTTTTCTACCCCTTTTAAAAGCTGGGAAAAGTTAATGCCCCACCCCACGTATTTAACAATAAAAGAATCCAAGTGAAAAAGGTCAATCTGATAGCATCATTAAACTTTTTTTTTTGGGGGGGGGGTCCTTTTTTATTTATTTATTTATTTTTTTTACCTATATAAATCTCATCCAGTCACCTATATGCATTACATTTCTCTCCATATCCCTTCCCCCCGCAGTGGGTCTATGCCCAGATAGTGCGGTGTTATAATTTTTAGAAATGTGATACCTATAGTGTGCACAACTGTATTTCCAAAAGGTGGTGTCACTGTCTAAATTCTGAATAAAAACAAATCTCAGGAAGTCATTCATGTTATCACTAATTTAACACAAATGACTTGGCATGACATCATTTGACATGAACTGGTGAAAAGTCGAGAGAAAAAAAAAAGTTCTTTAGTCTGATCAATCAGTATTGATGTGATGGGGTGTGTTAGTGCTTGTGACATGGGTAACATGCAATTCTGTAAAGGTGCTATTGATGCTGCAGCTTAATTGTAATGTATTCTGCCATCCAGACAATGTCTTTAAGATCTTTGATTATGTTAGCAAGATTATGCCAAACCAGATTCTACTTTAATTAAAGTAGCAAAGGTCTATAAGGAGGGTCCAGAAAATCTGTCAAAGAGAGCCCAACCTGTTGTAAGGATGGAACATTTGTGACTTTGCCAGCCTTTTGTCCTCATCAGAAGGCTTAAAATGTTGCTAGAAAAAGAGGTGATGCAACACAGTGGTAAACATGCCTGTTCCAACCTTTATGAAATAACTTTTTTTTTTTTAAACATACACTTTGACAGTTATTCCGTTTCAGCATTTTTTATAAATTGTGTATTCAGTGTTGGCTTTAAATAATGTGATTACATTTTACACAGCATCCCAACATTTTGGAAAATTATATTGTGCTCTTCAATTACTGTTAGTGCCTGAGCCACAAAATGATTGATGTCCTCTGTAATCTAGCAGATGAGAACTTTTACTCACTAAAGCTTGTCAACAAACATCACATGCAGCATAAGATGACACTGCAGTCTGTCTCTGGACTAATTTTATCCTCATATTTATTCCTGTTGTGATTCTTTTGTCTCAGGTTCCAAAGCTATAGACTACTCCAATGGTTTGTTTGACTGCCAGTCGCCTACGTCACCTTTTATGGGTAGTTTGCGAGCGCTTCACCTTTTGGAAGACCTAAGAAGTGTCCTAGAGTTGATGGACTCGGAGGAAAGGGAGAGTCTACGATGCCAGATCCCCGACTCCACAGCTGACAGCCTTGTTGAGTGGCTCCACGGTCACATGGTAAGACCCTTACTTGTGGATGTTAGAAATATCAGTTGGATTCATGGAAAGAGATAAAGTTTATTAGCAGGTCTTTAGAAATTGAAGCAAACAGACCACTTTTTGCTCTTCTGCCATCCAGAAAAGTGTAGCCTCAGGGTAAACCGTTGTAGCGCTCGTGTTGCATTTTCTGTTTTTGAAATCAGTGCAAGTTGTGTAATCTTGCCAGGTCTCGCTTGGAAATGAGATTTTTAATCTCAATGAGATTTTTTTACTTGGATAAATAAAGGACTAATAATAAAAAAAAATCATGGAAGGAGTTTCTCCTGTGATGGCTGGGCATGAAGTCCTTCAAACAAACTGTAGCACAGCTGGTTTGATTCTGATTGTTGCGTGTGCCAAATTAAAGCTGTATTAATACAGAACAGTGTGGCCAAACAGTCTTGTATCCAAGTCCACAAATGGCTTGTTTGCGAAGCGAAAAAACGCAGAACAATTGTCCTGTTCTGCTGAGTTCCCATGGAATCCAAGATGGATGAGCTGTGTTGGTGTCACAGTTGATGTGCATGCAGCAAGAAACGCACAGACTTCTTGGGAATCAGAGCAGTGACTGGCTGCAGGCCAGTGAGAGTTTTTGTGTAATGCTGTAACCCACTCTGTGTACAGCAGTCTGAATGTGAGCTCTCCATTTCAACCATGTAAGGTTTTATTTGTGCTGGGTGAAGTGGTGTAGCTGCTCAGGCACTTTGAATTTCAGCTGAGAACATTAGTAGACATCAAAGACTTGAGGTTTTGTCTTTAAAGCGTAGGAATACATTATCATACCCTTGCAAATGGCTTAGTAGAGTTCTTCTAATAATTTATTTTTCTCTCCCCAGTCTAACGGACACATTTCATTGGGTGGAGGTGACCATTACCAGGAGAGGCTTTCACGACTAGAGAGTGATAAGGAGTCTCTTGTGCTTCAGGTACCTGCCTAGCAGTAATTCCATAATTTTACCATCTCCTCCACCGTCTATTTTCTGTAAAACTCCTGTGAAGCTCATTAATGTTACTTGTCCCTCTCATCGACCAGTCAAAAACAAGAAGGGGCAGGACTTGTGTTATCAACACTGTAAACAATGGCGGGGGAGAAATCATTTTTGTAACCTAGCAACATCAAGCATTGAAAGAATGCTTGAAGCTCTAAAAATTAGGTCAGGGGTTTGACACACAAAAAACACTTACTGATAAATATTGTTTTACTTAAGAAAATACTTAAACCAACACAGAGTTAAAAGGTGAAAATGGAGCACAGCCTGACGTCCTTAACAAACTCAATAAATCTGCTGCAGCTCTGAAAACTTCAAGAAACTGTGAATTTCTGAATAATAGTTCACATAATGTTTTATTATTGAATTCATTTTTGTTTGTTGATTTTTAATGAATTTCCCTGGGGTGGCAAATGGTTACTAATGTAATTATTAGTCAGTGTTTGTATAATTTATCCAGCTACGGGTGGACTCTCCAGGATCTGGAAAGGAACTGAAACATTGTAAAACCTAACTGGAGGTTTCAAAGCTTGCTTGTGTTTGTGCCCCACATGCAAAAGTTTTATTGCACTTGAACTGTGATCAGATTTGTTTAGTTCTCGCCCTCAATGTTTTTAGGAGCAGGGTATCTGTATATGTTGATTGCATGATTCTACAGCTGCCGCCACCCCTGACGCACTAAGAGAGATTTCTCTTCTGACTTAAAACTCTTAAAAATCTATAATAGTACAAAGAGTGGAACGGATAACTTTGGCTCATCATGTTCTTTAATAACTTGGCCCTTGGTTTGTTTAATATCAGGCTTTGCTGTCCTTTCTAAAATGTGTTACCTTGTGTTCATGCAGGTGAGTGTACTGACAGACCAGGTTGAGGCTCAGGGGGAGAAGATTCGTGATCTGGACTTGTGTTTGGATGAGCACAGGGAGAAGCTCAACGCCACAGAGGAGATGCTGCAACAGGTCTGTGTGTGTTTGTGTGTTTGTCTTACACTCTGAGGACGGGAAGGCTATTCCCAAACCAAAGCCCCCCAGTAGTGAAAGGTGCAAATGGACATATGGTGCAGATGTGTTTGGGTGGTACTGACTCTCAACTGGAAGAGCTGAGTTCACGCCCTCCTGTCAAGTAAACATCTACTGTGTGCACTGCTGTGCTAAGTTTATAAGTGGGTGTAACAGGGGCGTCTTGTTAAAACTGTTAATCATTGAGGTTTTGCAGATGACTTTTTTGTGTCTCCACTTTTACACAATAATGCCTGTACTACCAGTGTTGTTTACACAGATTGTTTGTTTGCTATTACAGGAGCTTCTGTGTAGAACTGCTCTGGAGACTCAGAAGCTTGAGCTTATGTCTGAAGTGTCCAACCTTAAGCTGAAACTCAACAGTATGAAAAACGAGAGGCTTGACTTTGATGACGGATTTAGGGACAGTGAGGTGAACTAATCCTCTTTGTTTCTGAATGTTTCTTTTCTATCTCACTTAACACACACAGACACACACAGACTCAACAATAATGAAACACTCATTTATTTTGTCTTAAACCTGGGGGAGAGAGGATCCCGTCTTATTATCAGTCTCAAAGTCATTTTTATTTCTTGTTGTTAGTGTTTGCTAAACTAGCCATTGACGGTATACCCACATTATTAGTGTGAATGCTTGAAAAGCATTCACAGTATTGTTCTTCTAATCTTTATTATTATTAGTGTGAATGCTTGAAAAGCATTCACAGTATTGTTCTTCTAATCTTTATTCTTATATTTTATTATCTATTCCGTACGTTTTTTGAAAGCCTACTCCTTCAAAACCGTTCAACTTAGAAAAACCATTCAAACACCATTAGATTCCTATTCTTTTGGACATGGTTGCTTGTATTTTTCTCATTTTTAACATTTATATTTTTAATTTTATTCAACTTTATTCAACAAAAATTTCCCATGTATTTCAATGGGGAGACCCTTCAAATTCTCATTCAACTTACTCATTTTTAAACTCTTACTACTTCAACATACGTTCACATAGAGCCACCATTCAAACTTTAAAACGAAGACAAGACATTCAACTATTCAACTTGTATTTATCTTTTCAATATCTATTATACTTTTTCTTCAGTTCCAGTTTAAGTTTCATGATGTTTTTTCACCCGTTTCAGAGTTTATAATGGGTGTGTATGGGACGGAATGTTGGGGCTAGAGTGAGGCAGCTCAACTGCTAGAGTGAGAGGAGCAAAAAAATAATCTTAAAATCTTTTTTAAAACTGCTGCTGTGTCCGCAGCGTTTGCTCTACAGGTATGATTTTACCCTCAAAACGTAGCCATGGCTGTCCTCTTTCATCCAATGTGTTTACTATTGTACTAGGTGTTATGGTTCTTTCATAAATGTCACCAATGCACAGCCTCCTCCCTCCAACTCTTCCATAGACTCTAATGTTAAAATGGCTCAGAAGGTTCGTTTGAAAATCAGAAGAGCATGGTGTCTTTCCACTGTCACCACGTCCATATAATAAACTCCACAGACATGAAAACTGAGAATTTGGTAGACTAGACATTGCTGTCGCTCACAGTGAAAGAATTTTGTCAATACGACTTTTACTTTTCATTTGGGAACGATTTGTTTCGGCCTGACTTTTCTGTTCATTTTAAGCAGCAAAAGTGAGGTGCATGTCTGTGTGCGTGTGTATGGAGCCATTGGGTGCGGTCAGTATAGCAACCAGGCTCACACCTGCCTGCTTAACGAGCTCTGCCTGCCACTGTACCAAGATCCATCTTAAACACTTCTCTTTCAACTGCTGCTGTGTCCACAGTGTTACAGCCATCATTTTACCCTCAAATTGTCGCCATTATTGTTCTCTTTCCAACACCGTATCTTTCAAAGCTCAGGCATTTAAACTTTTTAAACTGTGTGGATCAAAGTGGAGGGATCACATTTGAGTCATTCAGTGATTCAAAGAATATGACCTTTTAATATTCATTCAGATGTTTTCTGACTCTAAATGTTCTTTTCTCATTTCTTAGGGTTTTCTAATTTACATTTAAAACATTTTCAGTTTTTTTCCAACTCCTTCTTCTGTGTGACTTTCAGCTTTTAGCAGTTCAGCACCTTTGTTTTCAGGTTAAATTCGTTTTTTTTTGTTTTTTTTTAATCTCATTCAAGATTTTTAACTCAAAATTCAGCAATTAATTCATTTCAGTGCATACATTCAGAATCAAGCATTCACACTGCAGTTTCTTCAGAAAATGCACTTTCTAGTTAGTGTGAATGCTTGAAAAGCATTCACAGTATTGTTCTTCTAATCTTTATTAGTGTGAATGCTTGAAAAGCATTCACAGTATTGTTATTCTAATCTTTATTAGTGTGAATGCTTGAAAAGCATTCACAGTATTGTTCTTCTAATCTTTATTATTATATTTTCTTATTCCGTACGTTTTTTGAAAGCCTACTCCTTCAAAACCGTTCAACTTAGAAAAACCATTCAAACATCGTTAGATTCCTATTATTTTGGACATGACTGCTTCTATTTTTCTCATTTTTAACATTTATATTTTTAATTTTATTCAACTTTATTCAACAAAAATTTCCCATGTATTTCAATGGGGAGACCCTTCAAATTCTCATTCAACTTACTCATTTTTAAACTCTTACTACTTCCACATACATTGACATAGAGCCACCATTCAAACTTTAAAACGAAAACAAGACATTCAACTATTCAACTTGTATTTATCTTTTCAATATCTATTATACTTTTTCTTCAGTTCCAGTTTAAGTTTCATGATGTTTTTTCACCCGTTTCAGAGTTTATAATGGGTGTGTATGGGACGGAATGTTGGGGCTAGAGTGAGAGAGCTCAACTGCTAGAGTGAGAGGAGCAAAAAAATTAATCTTAAAATATTTTTTAAAACTGCTGCTGTGTCCACAGCGTTTGCTCTACAGGTATGATTTTACCCTCAAAACGTAGCCATGGCTGTCCTCTTTCATCCAATGTGTTTACTATTGTACTAGGTGTTATGGTTCTTTCATAAATGTCACCAATGCACAGCCTCCTCCCTCCAACTCTTCCATAGACTCTAATGTTAAAATGGCTCAGAAGGTTCGTTTGAAAATCAGAAGAGCATGGTGTCTTTACACTGTCACCACGTCCATATAATAAACTCCACAGGCATGAAAACTGAGAATTCAGTAGACTAGAAGCTGCTGTCGCTCACGGTGAAAGAATTTCGTCAATATGACTTGTACTTTTCATATGGGAACGATTTGTTTCGGCCTGACTTTTCTGTTCATTTTAAGGAGCAAAAGTGAGGTGCATGTCTGTGTCGTGTGTATGGAGCCATTGGGTGCAGTCACTATAGCAACCAGGCTCACACCTGCCTGCTTAACGAGCTCTCTCTCTCTCTCTGCCAAGATTCATCTTAAACACTTCTCTTTCAACTGCTGCTGTGTCCACAGTGTTAAAGCCATCATTTTACCCTCAAAACGTCGCCATCGTTGTTCTTTTTCCAACATCTTGTCTTTCAAAGCTCAGAGATGTAAACTTTTTAAACTGTGTGGGTCCAAGTGGAGGAATCACATTTTAGTCATTCAGTGATTCAAAGAATATGACCTTTTAATATTCTTTCAGATGTTTTCTGACTCTAAATGTTCTTTTCTCATTTCTTAGGTTTTTCTAATTTACAATTAAAACATTTTCAGCTTTTTTCCAACTTCTTCTTCTGTGTAACCTTCAGCTTTTAGCAGTTCAGCACTTTTGTTTTCAGGTTAATTCGGGGTTTTTTTTTTATCTCATTCAAATTTTTTTTAACTTAAATTCAGTAATTAATTCATTTCAGTGCATACATTCAGATTCAAGCATTCACACTGCAGTTTCTTCAGAAAATGCACTTTCTAGTTCCATTTTATTATTATCTATTCCGTACGTTTTTTGAAAGCCTACTCCTTCAAAACCGTTCAACTTAGAAAAACCATTCAAACACCATTAGATTCCTATTCTTTTGGACATGATTGCTTGTATTTTTCTCATTTCTAACATTTATATTTTTAATTTTATTCAACTTTATTCAACAAAAATTTCCCATGTATTTCAATGGGGAGACCCTTCAAATTCTCATTCAACTTACTCATTTTTAAACTCTTACTACTTCAACATACGTTCACATAGAGCCACCATTCAAACTTTAAAACGAAGACAAGGCATTCAACTATTCAACTTGTATTTATCTTTTCAATATCTATTATACTTTTTCTTCAGTTCCAGTTTAAGTTTCATGATGTTTTTTCACCCGTTTCAGAGTTTATAATGGGTGTGTATGGGACGGAATGTTGGGGCTAGAGTGAGACAGCTCAACTGCTAGAGTGAGAGGAGCAAAAAAATTAATCTTAAAATCTTTTTTAAAACTGCTGCTGTGTCCGCAGCGTTTGCTCTACAGGTATGATTTTACCCTCAAAACGTAGCCATGGCTGTCCTCTTTCATCCAATGTGTTTACTATTGTACTAGGTGTTATGGTTCTTTCATAAATGTCACCAATGCACAGCCTCCTCCCTCCAACTCTTCCATAGACTCTAATGTTAAAATGGCTCAGAAGGTTCGTTTGAAAATCAGAAGAGTATGGTGTCTTTACACTGTCACCACGTCCATATAATAAGCTCCACAGGCATGAAAACTGAGAATTTGGTAGACTAGACATGGCTGTCGCTCACGGTGAAAGAATTTTGTCAGTACGACATGTACTTTTCATTTGGGAACGATTTGTTTCGGCCTGACTTTTCTGTTCATTTTAAGCAGCAAAAGTGAGGTGCATGTCTGTGTCGTGTGTATGGAGCCATTGGGTGCGGTCACTATAGCAACCAGGCTCACACCTGCCTGCTTAACGAGCTCTGCCTGCCACTGTACCAAGATTCATCTTAAGCACTTCTCTTTCAACTGCTGCTGTGTCCACAGTGTTACAGCCATCATTTTACCCTCAAATTGTCACCATTATTGTTCTCTTTCCAACACCGTATCTTTCAAAGCTCAGGCATTTAAACTTTTAAACTGTGTGGATCAAAGTGGAGGGATCACATTTGAGTCATTCAGTGATTCAAAGAATATGACCTTTTAATATTCATTCAGATGTTTTCTGACTCTAAATGTTCTTTTCTCATTTCTTAGGGTTTTCTAATTTACATTTAAAACATTTTCAGTTTTTTTCCAACTCCTTCTTCTGTGTAACTTTCAGCTTTTAGCAGTTCAGCACCTTTGTTTTCAGGTTAAATTCGTTTTTTTTTGTTTTTTTTTAATCTCATTCAAGATTTTTAACTCAAAATTCAGCAATTAATTCATTTCAGTGCATACATTCAGATTCAAGCATTCACACTGCAGTTTCTTCAGAAAATGCACTTTCTAGTTATTATTATTATATTTTATTCTGTATTCCGTACGTTTTTTGTAATCCTATAACTT